ATTCCAAAAAATGTGTTTTATAAACTCGTCACAGGAGTGTCTCACAAATCAAGGATGCACCGCAAATGTATTCTCTGCACAGCCACATTAAACACTCAGTTGTCCATCAACACTGACAAAGCTCCACTTTTATCTGCCCTATGTAAATTACCCCACGCCCTTCAAGGCTGTGCAGACAGACTGGGGTATTTTCTGTTTGTCGTAGTGCACTTTTCTGCTTTACAAAAATCCTCCTTGTCAATCTTGAAGTTAAAGAGGGAGTTGCTTTGAGATTTCAAAGCACCTCGAGTGGTCAACAAGACTAGAAAAGCACTGTATAAATGCAGTGCATTTACTATTGACAGATACGGGTAATGTTTTGTTGTAGTTGTGCTCAAGGTAAGACCAGAAAATACCCCACTGAGGCAAAGCAGCAGCAAGAAAACAAGCCAGACATTAACTGTAATCCCTCTCACATCCCTCTGAGGGTTTGCCCTGACCTTCATGCGTCATTGAATATAGGATGGCCAACCTCGCTGTCCCCCTCCTCGTGCTGAATGCTGTGACTTATCACAGCTTGATCTTCACCCTGCAGAGGTTAAGCTTCCTTCAAGTCCCCTTATCACCCCAGCCCACTGCGCTATTTCCATCCTTCTATACTTCCTGTACATCTGCGTAGTTGTTTGTAGCCATGACGACAGAATCCATGGCAACAAAGATCTCCCTGGTATTAAACTAAAGGTAGATGTATGAGGGGGGAGGAAAGGCGGTGGGGCTGTGAGGGTGTTTTAATAAGCGTCTGGATGGAGAGTAATTGAGAAGGGCCTTGTTAACAAGAGACAAGGTCTTCTGCTTAACAGGCAAAGCTTCTCCGAGCAACACATGCTGATGGCTGTAGAGAGGCACGTACACAACGCACGATGAAATTCAGTTCGTGACTAAGTGTAAAACCAAGAAAAAGATAAAGGAAAGTGTGACTGTGAGAGTTCTGAAAAGGAGTGGGAGAAATCACACAGCAGCTTCGCGAGGGAAACAGATAAGAAAAAGGCAGGAAGGATTTGTCTGCAATGAGATGTTTTTGTCTGCATCCAGGTGTGTTTTGGCGAGATTAACATCCCTGCCTTTCCTTTTCTTTCATCTGCAGCCTCTGAAGCTTCTCTGCTACCTGAACAGGTTATGAACAGTTTCCTTGCAGTGTATGTAGACAGCCACGTGTGCACTTCAGCAGTCACTCCAGCAGCTCTCGCCAAGCCTCTCAAACATCAGTGCCACATCGAGTATAGTGCCAAAATATGTTGTGATGGGTTGGGGATGTTTTCAATTGGGTTTTGCGTATGTATGTGTGTCATAATTGATGAATAGATTACATTAGCTCAGACAAAATGGGCCTTATTCACACATTTAGAGATTGTCAGCAGGAAGCTGCCATACAAGATATTGATTGATCTGAAGAGATGGGTTTAGGATTTATGTATATGTACACACACATATGTATGTATATGTGTAAGTATATGCAGCTTCTTTTCTAGTAAAGTCACATGTTTCTCTCAGTATTATTCAGCACATTTGCATATTAAACTGTACACAGCTCAGTCCATACTGTGTTGTACAAAGACTCAGTGCTCATAGCTTTACCTTTGTACACCTACACAGTGGATTTAAATCAAACCATGAAGATGCGATTGATGTGCAGATATTCATCTTTAATTCAAGGGCTTTTATAAACATTTTACATTTATACTCTGATTGAGAAGGTGTCTGCAGCCTGTGCAGTAAGTGGTGCAGAAGGTGAACAGGATTATCCATGATGGATACCAGTTTGTCCAGTGACCTCCTCTCCACCACAGCTCAAAAGGGTCAGTGTCACAGAGCCGGCCTTCAGAATAGTTTTATCTAATCTGTTGGTGTCACCACCTCCAGTGCTGCTCCCCCAGCAGACCACAGCAAAGTACAATGACTGATAGAAAATCTCCAAACTTTGCTGTACGCACTGAAAAAAATTCTGCTTCTTAAGCAAGAAATATACATATACAGCCTCCGTGTTGGTCATTCTGTTCAGTCTGCTGCTGGTCAGACCGGCTTCTTGCTTTTGAAGTCGATCACCATGTCACCATTCAGAAGCAGAAGATTCCTCGCAGACCCCTCCACAAAAACATCCACTAGTGCTCTGTAATCCTCCTCCTGCCGATCACTTATACATCCACTGCAGAGTCCTCAGAATATTGTTGTAGGTGATCTGAGGTGTACAAGGTAACCAGGAATGGAGACAGTACAACCACCTATAAAGTTTCTGTACTGCACATCACCAAATCAGACTGAGCTCTGCAAAGTGTGAAGACTCAAACCAGAAATGGTGAATGTTTCTTCAGCTTATATTTTCAAAGACAAGCGTCCTCTGTTTGCAGTTTTTGTTGCACTTTTCACATTTTCACTATTCTGTGGGTGTTTTGTGTTTGCAGACGACCTGGCATCTTCCATGCAAATTACAAGTGGCTGAAACATCTTGCTAGCAATCTAAACAATCTCAAAGGGGCTTTTGTTGCAGCACTATAACCTCTTGGTAACCAGCTTCACCGAGCAACAGCCAGTACAGCCAATACACATGTTGCACATGCGAGAGGTCTCTAAATCTGAATGACTAAGATCTTATATGACTGAGGACCTATAAGGTTAAAGTGTCTTATAATCTTCAAAATATTTAAAATTTTCCAGGATATGAGAAATTTTTAAAGTGGGGTTGGATCGAAAACCAGACATGAACCAGAGAAGTGCCGATGAAGAGGAAGACTGAGCTGAATGCATAGGCAATCTGAGGCACAAAAAACATCAGGTTAATAGATGCATGAAGAGGAATAAAGCTAATCATCTAACAGCTAAATTGCCACCGTAACCACTAAAAAGGTAGAAATGAATGTCTGGGACACATTTGGCCTTGACTGACAGCAATGACTCAAGGTAAGTCTGGTTGCCTCAAGTCAGCAACAGATCTGCCTTATGTGGGCCATGTATAAGATGTGTTGTAACATTTGTACATCCTGCCCATGCACCATATGTTATTTGCAGCAGTCCATGACTTTTGGGCTACATCTAGTCCAGAGAACACATAATTGAGCCACAGTTACCAAAAGTAGACCCAAAATAAAGCTTTATATATCTAAGACAGACTGGAGTAGATACCTATACTTACAGATAGACTGTGGGTAGATATCTACCCTGACAGAAAGACAAAGGTAGATATCTACCTTGAAAGATAGATCAGGGTAGATATACACCCTGAACTAAAGATCAGGTAGACAGCTAACCTGAAAGACAGACCAGAGTAGATATCTACCTTGAAAGACACATGAGAGTAGAGATATCTAACCTGACAGAAAGACAAAGGTAGACTTGTACTCTAAAAGACAGATCTGGGTAGATATCTAACCAGAAAGACAGACCTGAATAGATATCTACCCTGGAAGACAGATCAGGTACATATATAACCAGAAAGATAGACCGGAGCAGATATCTAGCTTGAAAGACAGATCAGAGTAGATATCCACCCTGAAAGTTAAACCAAGTTTTGCCATTTTTCAGATGAGTAGATAAAAGCCAAGTGTGTTGAATCAGTAAACCAGTATGAGAGAATAAAGTACAACACCTGCACTCACAAAAACACATCAGCATGAACAGGGAACTAGAGAGGCACACAAAGAGGGGAAAACCCGGGAATTTTTTTTCCTGGTTCTACCACGTACAGTGGGATGCAAGAGTTTGGACAACCTTGTTAATAGTCATCGTTTTCCTGTATAAATCGTTGGTTGTTACAATAAAAACAAATGTCAGTTAAATATATCATGTAGGAGACACACACAGTGATATTTGAGAAGTGAAATGAAGTTCATTGGATTTCCAAAAAGTTTCCAA